ATTTCTCACTTCTATAAGCAATGAACAGCAGAAATGATCTATAATCTGAGCAGGAAAATCACGTCCAGCTCTCTGCATCTCTCATATTTGGTGGCTCTGCGGTCTACAGAGCAGACCTCACAGTGTTCAGACCTTCACACGCCAGCGAGAGGGAAAAATCTGATCATATGAAACACAAGGGAGGGAGAAACACAGAAAAGCCCCTGGCAGATCTGTGGAGGAGGTGAACGCAGAAAACCACAGACGAGCGAACAGCCAAGAACACAGGGAAAAGACTCAAGCCGAAGCTCCAGGACTGATTTAATTAGCTGTGTGCTCTACATGTCCAACAAACTTCAGAAACCCCCCCCCCCCCCATAAGGGGAATCCACCTGTGGGCAGCGAGCAGAGAAAGAGCAGCTACTTAAAGGTCCCATAAAATTAAAATAACGTTTTTTAGATGTTGGTTTTCAGGAAATCTAAAACAGTGACAAAATTCACGATATAAAACTGATATAAACATGTAAAGCTTGTAGTTTGTCACTTCAACCTAAATTAATTAATGTTTTTATTCACGTCACCTCATACTTCAGTTTCTCATCAATTCTGCTGACCAATCAAATGCTCTCTGGTATCTGACATGCCCCGCCCCTTGTCATTTGATACGCTTGTGCTCACTCTCACTAGCAGAGCTGTGAGAAAAAACACACGCTACAGGCTGTTTTCTTTAAAGGGGAGGAGCTGTATGTCAACAATAACATACAACAACATAAAAATAACAGTAAACAAGAAAATTTATTTTAAAAATTATTAAATAAAATAAGAACTTAAAGCTTAAGTAACCCAACTGCAGTTGGAATAAATGAATGCAAATACCAGCCACCTCAGCCGCTTCCTCATCCCCTTAATACACACACACACACACACACACACACACACACACACACACACACACACACACACACACACACACACACATACATATATATATATAGTTGAAGTCAGAATTATTTGCCCTCTGAATTATTAGCCTCCCTGTTCATTTTTTTCCCAATTTCTGTTTAGTGGAGAGCAGATTTCTACAACACATTTCTAATCATAATAGTTTTAATAACTCATCTCTAATAACTGATTTATTTTATCTTTGCGATGATGACAGTAAATATTTGACTAGATATTCTTCAAGACACTTCTATACAGCTTAAAGTGACATTTAAAGGGTTAACTAGGGTAATTAGGTTAACTAGGCAGGTTAGGGTAATTAGGCAAGTTATTGTATAACGATGGTTTGTTCTGTAGACTATCGAGAAAAAAAATAAGCTTAAAGGGGCTAATAATTTTGTCCTTAAAATGGCTTTTAAAAAATTTAAAACTACTTTTATTTTAGCCAAAATAAAACAAATAAGACTTTCTCCAGAAGAAAAAATATTATCAGACATACTGTGAAAAATACCTGGCTTTGTCAAACATAATTTGAGAAAAATTAAAAAAAAGAAGAAAAAATTTAAAGTGGGGCAAAAAAATCTGACTTCAAATGTATTTATATATATATATATATATATATATATATATATATATATATATATATATATATATATATATATATATATATGTATATATATATATATTTTTTTTTTTTTTTTTTTTTTTTTTTAAAGAAGCTTCTCCTGCTTACCAAGGCTGCATTTATTTAATTACAAATACAGTACAAATTGTAAAATTGTGAAATGTTATTGCACTAGAAAATAATAAAGTAGTTTATAATTTAATTTAATAATTTATGCCAGTGATTTTAATGATGAATTTTCAGTTTCATTACAGCAGTCTTCAGAGTCACATGATCCTTCAAAAATCACTTTAATATTAATTATTATTATTGTTATTATTATAATAAACAATATTATTATTAATAATGTAATAGTAATAAAAGCAATAATGGCTGGACTAATAATTCCATTTAAAAATACATACAATAAGTAATAAATAAATATTTAATAAATAAGTATTTAACAAATTAACTATTTATTTTACATTTATTAAATGCCGGCATAATGAACAGAATAGTGTTCTTTAAAAAAAAACTAAAACCGATCTCAAACTTTTGACCAGTAGTCTAAATATATAGTTTTGTTAGTAATTTTTTTTTCTTTTGGTCAAAAATGGTGTAATAAATGTTTTCTATATGCATTGAAGTGGAGATAAAGCACATGAAGATGTCTTTACAGTATCTTTATATATAATTTTCTCTGATTTCATAGCAGAAAAAAAACAAACCTTGGTGGGGAAAGAGTTAATCATTCCCTAGCACTACTCTTAATTTAAAAAATCTAAAGTAAACCACTTTAATAATCTAAAATGAACCTATTTAATTATTATTTTCATTTTAAAATACATATTTTGTGCTTTAAATATGTAATTAAGCTGCATGTATGCCGTTACTCCCCAACCCACATCAGTACTCCAGCTCCAGACCCTGAAGGATGAGTGTGTTCTGCCTGAAAACAATGATCCAGTGAGGTTTGATTACGTTTGAGTGCATGGAAAAACTGAGGTGGTAACTGAAATGACATGGCTATTTCTTTTTCGGCTGTGCAGGAAATTCCAGCTCTGATTGCCGGGGTTGGAAAAGCGCTGACACGAGGGACTTCGCCAGCTGTTCATTAGTGAGCGCCGCAGCTAATTAGCGAGGTGATGAGGTAATGCCGCTGTAACTCCATTATCACAATTCCTGTTTGGAGAGAAAAGGCAACAGGGGCGAAAGAGCACACCTGAAACGCAAACACGCGAGGCCAGACGCCGAGCCAGAATAAATATGCTGCGGTAATGAAGAAAACTCTTATATAGGCTCCAGTTTCTGCTACTGCAGGTCTAATGACTTTATTCTCCTCAATAAAGCAGAGCGACTGCACAAATGAATGGTGTAATCATAACTACAGACCATCTGTGAGTCCAGCTCAATGTGAGTCAATAGTACTAAAGGCCAAATTTATGACATCTGTACATATACACTTTACTTGTACCAGGTCGGACCCCCTTTTGCCTTCAGAACTGCCTTAATCCTTCATGGCAGAGATTCAACAAGGTACTGAAAATATTCCTCAGAGATTATTATTATCCATATTGACATGATAGCATCACACAGTTGCTGCAGATTTCTCGGCTGCACATCCATGATGCCAATCTCCCATTCCACCACATCCCAGAGGTGCTCTATTGGATTGAGCTCTGCTGACTGTGGAGGCCATTTGAGTACAGTGAACTCATTGTCATGTTCAGGAAACCAGTCTGAGATGATTGAGGTTTATGACATGGTGTGTTATCCTGCTGCCATCAGAAGATGGAGACACTGTGCTCATAAAGGGATGGACATGGTCAGCAACAATACTCAGGTAGGCTGTGGTGTTGACACGATGCTCAATTGGTACTAATGAGCCCAAAGTGTGCCAAAAAAAAAATCTCCCCCACACCATTACACCACCACCACCAGCCTGAACCATAGATACAAGGCAGGATGGATCCATGCTTTCATGTTGTCTGCGCCAAATCTGGCCCTACCATCTGAATGTGTCAGCAGAAATGGAGACTCATCAGAGCAGGCAACGTTTCTCCAATCTTCTATTGTCCAGTTTTGGTGAGTCTGTGTGAATTGTAGCCTCAGTTTCCTGTTCTTAGCTGACAGGAGCGGCACCCGGTGTGGTCTTCTGCTGCTGTAGCCCATCCTCCTCAAGGTTGGACGTGTTGTGTGTTCAGAGATGCTCTTCTGCAGAGCTCGGTTGTAACGAGTGCTTATTTGAGTTACTGTTGCCTTTCTATCAGCTGGAACCAGTCTGGCCATTCTCCTCTGACCTCTGGCATCAACAAGGCATTTGCACCCACAGAACTGCCGCTCACTGGATATTTCCTCTTTTTTAGACCATTCTCTGTAAACCCTAGAGATGGTTGTACGTGAAAATCCCAGTAGATCAGCAGTTTCTGAAATAATCAGACCAGCCCGTCTGGCACCAACAACCATGCCACATTCAAAGTAACTTAAAACCCCTTTTTCCCCATTCTGATGCTCACTTTAAACTGCAGCAGATCATCTTGACCATGTCTACATGCCTAAACGCATTGAGTTGCTGCAATGTGATTGGCTGGTTAGAATTTTTCGTTAACAAGCAGTTGGACAGACGTACCTAATAAAGTGGCCGGTGAGTGTATATATATATATATATATATATATATATATATATATTTATTTATTTATATATTGAACTAGAAGTGAGACAAAAACACAATGCTTACTGGCTTCCAACATTCTTCAAAATATCTTCTATTGTGCTCAACAGAAAAGAAGTTTAGTGTGAACTGTCCCTTTAAGAAGACAGTGAGTCAATATGATAAATGTACAGACACTTCAGTCTTTCTGATTAGCACTGCTGCAGTCCAGAGTAAGTGTGAACCGCTGACTTCCATAGTAGGAAAAACAACACTGCAAAAATAGGTTATGTTTTTGGTTTCTAGCCCAAATGTTTATATATTCTTAAATGAAGAAGCATTTTCTAGACAAGAAAAATATATTGTCTTATTTTTTTAAATAACTATCAAAATTAAGTGAGTTTTTCTTTAAAACAAGCTAAATTATCTGCCAATGGGGGCAAGCCAAATAAACCCATTTTCACTTTGAAATAAGAGTATTTTGCTCACCGCATTGGCAGATTATTTTGCTTGTTTTAATTAAAAACTCACCTCATTTTAACATATTACGTCTGAAAACAAGACTGTATATGTTTCTTGTCTAGAAAATGCTTCTTGACTTAAGAATTTTTAGATATTTGGACTAGAAACCAGACAAAAACTGCTTGCTGTCTTCCAACATTCTTCAAAATATCTTCTACTGTGTTCAACAGAAAGAAGAAAGTCAAACAGATTTAAAAGTGAACTGTCCCTTTAAGAAGACAGTGACTCAATATAATAAAAGATCAGACACTTCAGTCTTTCTGATTAGCACTGCTGCAGTCCAGTGTAAGTGTGAATCTGACCTCAGGAGGGATGGGCTCCAGACCGGCGCAGTTCTCATTGCATTTGTCATAGACGAGACGGAGCTTTCGGAAGAGGACCGAGAGTGTCCGCAAATGCTCCTGCAGCTTCCCCAGCCGGTCCTGATGAGTGTTAGGATGATACGTCACTCCGTTCGGCAGCTGAGAACATAAGGGGTCGCCTAGATTACTTGTAAGTGGGGTATATGCATTGGGGTTTTTAATTGTGGGTCAGTAAGCTCAAATACCACACATTTGGATCTGATTTTTCATGTTTACCTTCAGCTTCTTTGTCGTTTTAGTTTGTCAGAGTGATCAGAACACATCCAGTGTTGAACAGAGCAACGTTTAGTGTTTGCAAAGCTTACATTAACACTTGTGCAAACCTGTTAGTGATAAAAATAAACTAACAGTTTGAACAGACACTGAATAAAAAAACACTCAAAAGCAATAAAATTTAATAAAAAATGATGAAGAATTCAGGCACGATTTTTAAGATTATGTATTTATTGTATTATGCGTGGTGTAGGGCAATGAAGTGGCTCAGTGGTTAGCACTGTTGCCTCATAGCATAGTATTGGTCGCTGGTTTGAGTCCCGGCTGGGCCAGTTGGCATTTCTGTGTGGAGTTTGCATGTTCTCCCCGTCTTGGCATGGGTTTCCTCTAGGCATGGGACGATAACCGTTTTCAAGGTTTACCGCAGTTTGGAAAAGTCAAAGTTTTAAAGCCACCGAAATTTTGTTTTATCCTTCCTTTATGTCACGGGTGCCCAAACTTTTTCGTATGAAGGTTCAAAAATCAAACATCATTATGAGCCCTTGACTGAAGATACTGTAAATATAGACGAATTACCAACCTACGTCACACGTGGCCCAGATTGCAAAATAAATAAATAAATCAAAGACAATTGTTGACCAGTTTGAAATAAATAATAAATAAATAAATAAATACATAAGTGAAAAAAATGTTTGAACAGCTTGAAATAAATAAATAAAAAATTAATTAAATAAACAAATAAATTTAAGAAAAGTTTTGACCAGTTTGAAATAAATAAATAAAAAATAAATAAAAGATAAAATTTGAACAGTTTGAAATAAATAAATAAAAAATAAAATATAATACAATAAATGAATAAATCAAAGCCAATTGTTGACCAGTTTGAAATAAATAATAAATAAATAAATACATAAGTGAAAAAAAATGTTTGAACAGTTTGAAATAAATAAATAAAAAATAAAATATAATACAATAAATGAATAAATCAAAGACAATTGTTGACCAGTTTGAAATAAATAATAAATAAATAAATACATAAGTGAAAAAAAATGTTTGAACAGTTTGAAATAAATAAATAAAAAATAAAATATAATACAATAAATGAATAAATCAAAGCCAATTGTTGACCAGTTTGAAATAAATAATAAATAAATAAATACATAAGTGAAAAAAAATGTTTGAACAGTTTGAAATAAATAAATAAAAAATAAAATATAATACAATAAATGAATAAATCAAAGACAATTGTTGACCAGTTTGAAATAAATAATAAATAAATAAATACATAAGTGAAAAAAAATGTTTGAACAGTTTGAAATAAATAAATAAAAAATAAAATATAATACAATAAATGAATAAATCAAAGACAATTGTTGACCAGTTTGAAATAAATAATAAATAAATAAATACATAAGTGAAAAAAAATGTTTGAACAGTTTGAAATAAATAAATAAATAATAAAATATAATACAATAAATGAATAAATCAAAGACAATTGTTGACCAGTTTGAAATAAATAATAAATAAATAAATACATAAGTGAAAAAAAATGTTTGAACAGTTTGAAATAAATAAATAAAAAATTAATTAAATAAACAAATAAATTTAAGAAAAGTTTTGACCAGTTTGAAATAAATAAATAAAAAATAAATAAAAGATACAATTTGAACAGTTTGAAATAAATAAATAAAAAATAAAATATAATACAATAAATGAATAAATCAAAGACAATTTCTGACCCGTTTGAAATAAATAAATACATAAATGAGTCAATAAATGAAAAATATAAAGGGCTGCAATAGCAAACATGTCATGTGTGTGGTAGGATGCCAAATTTGACTTAACTTTTACCGTACACCACACTGCTTTAATGCCAACTGCATACGTCTTTGGGTACAAGGGAGCTGAATGAAGTGACGACCTAATTAGAAATGCTGGACTCTGCAGTTCTCATGTCATATCAGGTCAGTTCACGCTATGCTGAATCATACTCATTACTCGTTTTTGATTGCAGCAATCACTTATGGTGAATTAAACTGCGGACACTGGATGCTCAGAATGAAACAATATTAAGGTAAAGTTGGTTTTATATTCACACATTCATTCAGTGATAACTTGTGACACACTCCCTATAGTGTTTACCACGGCACTTTGAATATTCGGTCTGGGATTCGGCCGCTCGCTTTAACGTCAATTTTGCTGAATAACTGTGGTTATCACTGGCTGACGAGCTGTTATAATATGCTGAAAGTTACAAACATGGTAATTTGTCTATACTAAACTATATACATTAAAGTTGCCATGCATAATTTATTTCCTAATATTTCTAAATAAATAGAAAACATTAATTTAAATAGTGTAAGATAATGCACTATATATTTAAATTATAACTTATTGCGCAAAAAAAAAAAAAAAAAATTTCACATTTATACCACAGTGGAGTTAAATGCTCCTCTAGTCGAGCAGAACCTGCCTTTTGATTTGATTTGCTCACCAAAGTTTCTGCACTGTCGGGTAACAGTATGAACATTGAAACGAAAACTAATTCATGATTAATTTATGATAAATTTTTGCCATTTAATTAAAACATTTAATTTTTAGGCAGCTTATAACAATAAATCAAACAAAGGGTTTCATTAAATTTGAATTGACAATCTCGAAACATCCCCATTATTCTCCCTCTCTTCTCTTTTACAACTATTTTATTTCGTGTTTTAGGACAACAGTATCTCCAGCTGAAAAAGGACCCTCCACATCAAAATCTACTGTTCCAAAATATTTTAAAAGTTTCTCAAAATAAAATATGTTGTGTTCAATAGGAAAAAAATGTTGTTGTTTTTTACACAGACATTAAAAAAATAAAAAAATAAAAAATAAATAAATAAATAAATAAATAAAAATAAATAAATAAATAAATAAATAAATAAATAAATAAATAAATAAATAAATATATATATATATATATATATATATATATATATATATATATATATATATATATATATATATATATATATATATATATATATATATATATATATATATATATATTTAAGAGCGATAATCACAATACCGTGATATTTTTATCCAAGGTTATCACACTGTCAGGCCCATGCCTAGTTTCCTCCGGGTGTTCCGGTTTCCCCCACAGTCCAAACACATGCGCTATAGGGAAATCGATCAAATAAATTGGCCATAGCGTGTGAGTGTGTGTGTGTGTGTGTGTGTGTGAACGAGAGTGTATGGGTGTTTTCCATTATTGGGTTGCAGCTGGAAGGTCATCCGCTGTGTAAAACATGTGCTGCAATAGTTAATAATAATAATAATAATAATAATAATAATAATAATAATATTTTTTTATTTATATAGCGCCTTTCCAGAGCTTAAGAAAACTTTACAAGGAATGTGACAAAAAGATAAACAAACATACATGGTCAAATATAACAAACTAGAAATTAAAGTATTAAAGTAAGATAAAGTGGTCAGTTTGGCAGATCAGAAGCGAAGCATTCAGAAAATAAGTGAGTCTTAAGTAAGGATTTGAATTCAGAGATATTATTAGCAGAGCGGAGTTGTCGGTTCATTCCGCTGTGGTGACCCCTGGTGAATGAAGGGACTAAGCCGAAAGAAAAAGAATGGATGAGCTTTGCTGACCTGCATGTTTCTGAGCAGCTGAAAGATCTCCATGGTCCGCAAGACGATGTCCTGCACCGTCTCCTGACCGATCCGACACAGAGATGCAGTGTTTACATCCCGAGCGGCCTGAGTCTGCTGCTGCTGCTGGCCAGAGAACTGCGCCAGCGGAGGAGTCGTCATCGAGAAACACACCTGAGATCCTTGTCTATACACTGGCACTCATGTCTGTCATAATTACATTCAATTACAGAGAGAATTTAGAGTTAAAGTCAGAATTATTAGCGTTTTTTTTCTCAAATAATTCCTAAATGATGTTGAACGGATTCAGGATTTTTTCACATTGTTTCCTATAATATTCTTTTCTTCTGGAGAAAGTCTCTCTTTTTTTCACCTAGAATAAAAGGAGCTTTTAATTTTTACTAAAATTGCTTGGTGATTTCCAAAAGTCTAAATAAATGTATTGCGCTATTAGAATTAGCATATTCTATCCATAGCCCACAGTAAAAATAGTGTATAATGCTTACATAAAAAACAACATCATGCAACTAAAAAAGCCATCAGCCTTTCAATGAGTTTTTTCATAGGATTGCTGTGTTTACATTCATCCATAATATGCTTGATTATATATACAACACTGTAAATGTTGACTGTAATGTGTCAACATTTATAAAAGGATTAGGAACATGACTTCAACATCCAATATAAACATTTTATGCTAGAAATGTTTGCAAATTAGCACAAATTTAATTCATTATTTTGAGAAACATTTGAAATAACTTACAATACAAATCCCTGCTGAAAAATCCAGCTTAAACCAGCCTAGGCTGTTGGCTGATTTTAGCTGGTCGACCAGCCTGGTTTTAGAGGGTTTTTAGCCATTTCCAGCCTGGTCTTAGCTGTTCAGGCTGGAAAATGACCAGCTAAATCCAGCTAAAACCAGATTGACCAGCCTGGTTTAAGCTTGACATAGCTGGTTTTGGCTGGGCTTCCAGCTTGGCTAGGCTGGTCAAGCTGGTTTTAGCTGGTCATCTCCCAGCCTGACCAGCTAAAACCAGGCTGAAAATGGCTGGAAACCAGCCTGGAAATGGCCAAAACCCCTTTAAAACCAGGCTGGTCGACCAGCTAAAACCAGCCAACCAGCCTAGACTGGTTTAAGCTGGATTTTTCAGTAGTAAAAATAGTAGTATTTCAGTATTATTAGTAGTATTTAGTAGTTCAGTAGTATTTTTCAAATGCGTACAACTCTAATCAACTGGGAGGAAATCCTGATTAATATTGGCTCATTTATTTTCCCCTATTTACATGCAGTGTTTGCTTTAAATACTGAACCAAACACCCATAATACACATATAAAAATAATGCTTTAAGAATGACCTAATAATGTAATGTATTTTTTATTTAATGCCATGTCCGCAACCAAGCCTATCTTCATGGCAGGAACCTTTCAAAACTAAATATACAATTTAAAATCAACAAACAAATGAATACATAAATTAAATAAGATTTTTAGTGTTGGAATTATCTAATAAAGCCATTAATATAAAACAACAAGCTATAAAGGCAATTGTAAACACGTACAGTCATGGAAGAAGCCAAACATATGGAAGGTTTACATTGAGCTGACAACATTAACGCTTTAATATCTCAAATAAAGCGCTCAGCCATATGTCTGTGTGAAGTAAAGACAAAGGCATGTTATTCGCCAGAACACATGAAACATTAAACGCGTTAAAATACCTTCTGCCGTTAGTTTTTGTGTTGTTGACAAGACGTCATTCCCTCCGCGCTGTGATCTCGTCTGACTCCGCCATCGCGAGACCTCACGAGGACTCATTTCACTAAGCACCAGAAGTGCTTAAATTAAACTGTTTATATAAAACTAGTTGTTTTGATCAAGTTAATTTGCGTTTGAGTCCATTGTAATATAAATAACACAATCGTACGAGCTTACAAGGCAGATATTGTTATTAAATATGTTGGACACGAGAATAGGCCCTTTCGCTGAGCGAGCAGCGTCATCTGCTGTTCACTCGTATTGTGCACACATAAACATGATTTATTTTGATTTATTATGACTTATATCAGGCTAACTCATTCATAAATCATTCTCTCACTGTCTTAAACGATGTTTATGCTTAAAAATAATCTATGCCACTATAAAGTATCAACATGAAACAATACTATAGTAGTAGTGTTTTTGTGAATAGTAGCCTAATAATGCATAGATAATGACATTGGCTCTTGAACTTTTCCTGCTCGTTATCAAACTATTTCATAACTATAACAAGAATTCAATCATATCTTCACGTTAAAACGGTTGTCATAACATTATTTTTCAATATGTTGACCTTTTTGGATTCTCTCCCTGCTGAAAAATCCAGCTTAAACCAGCCTAGGCTAGGTTCCACAGCCTGGTCTTAGCTGGTCAGGCTGGAAAATGACCAGCTAAAACCAGCTTGACCAGCCTGGTTTAAAATGGACATAGCTGGTTTGGGCTGGGCTCCCAACCTGGCTAGGCTGGTCAAACTGGTGTTAGCTGGTCATATCCCAGCCTCACCAGCTAAGACCAGGCTGGAAATGGCTGGAAACCAGTCTGAAAATGGCCAAAACCCTTCTAAAACCAGCCTCGATCAGCTTAGGCTGGTTTAGGCCGTTTTTTTTTAGTAGGGTGAAGCTATTGAAATTAATAATGTAAAACAGGAAATACGTTAGGACCACTGTTATTGTTTACATTCCTCAAAATGGTCTATAGTATAAAGTGTGTACTGTGTATATTAAAACATGTACGACTCAATGCTGAACTGCAGTGTGATTCAGTTAGATGAACTGCAATGTGATTCAGTTTTTACTTCAGTAAACTGTGGTGTTGTGTTGTATAATATACACTATAGTTGTAGAAATCTACAGTATTTGGTTGTTTGTTTATATTACTTTTATTGCTGTATTACCATAGAAACTATTAAATCCCCACAACAGATTATTTTAGTATTTATAATATGGTTAATAAACACTATAGTTGGCTATTTACTTTAGTATTTCTTTCATCCGGACATCTAAATCAGTGTTTCATCGATTATCACTTGTCTTAAACCACATCTGATTAACAACTTCTCAATAATTAAAGTTGAAAGGTTTGAATGTTACCAGGTTTTTACTATGCATTACTGCATCTACACTAATTTAATGAATTGAGAAACTATTATATTATATTATATTATATTATTTTATTTTATATTAATTTTACTATATTATATTGTATTATTTTATTTTATATTATATAATATTGTTATATTATATTATATTATTTTATATTAATTTTACTATATTATATTGTATTATTTTATTTTATATTATATAATATTGTTATATTATATTATATTATTTTATATTAATTTTACTATACTATATTACATTATATTATATTATATTATATTATATTATATTATATCATATTATATTATATTATTTTATATTATATTAATTCTATTATATTATATTATATTGTATTATTTTATTTTATATTATATTGTATTATATTATATTATATTATATTATATTATATTTATTATATTGTATTATATTATATTATATTATATTATATTTTATTATATTATATTATATTTATTATATTGTATTATATAGTATTATATTATATTATATTATATTATATTATATTATATTTTATTATATTATATTTATTATATTATATTATATTATATTATATTATATTGTATTATATTGTATTATTTTATTTTATATTATATTGCATTATTTTATATTATATTATATTATATTATATTTATTATATTGTATTATATTATATTATATTATATTATATTATATTATATTATATTATATTATTATATTATATTATATTATATTGTATTATTTTATTTTATATTATATTGCATTATTTTATATTATATTATATTATTTTATATTATGTTATATTATATTATATTATATTATATTATATTATATTATATTATATTATATTATATTATAGAATTTTCCAGGTCAAAAACAATCTTGAATACATTAAAATATAAAAGAAATCAGAGAGACTGCAAAGATACCACAAATCTACTTCACATTCAGAATATATTTCTGCTGCTTATTCAAATAAGCTGAAACAACAAGAATAAGGACAACTTAATTATTTCATGTTCAATCCACTTAAATCTGTAAAAACAATTAAGTTATTCAATTGATTTGTGTTGGGACAACATGAAGGAGCTGTGTGGAATCCAGCATTATTACGACCACAGAGAGTCAGGACCGCGGTTTAACGTCTCATCCGAAAGACTGCGCTCACTGAGCAGTACAGAATCCCCGTCACTATACTGGGGCATTAGGACTCACACAGACTGCAGGTTGGGCGCCCCCTGCTGGCCTCAGTAACACCACTTCCAGCAGCAACCTAGCTTTCTCATGTGATCTCCCATCCAGGTACTGACCGGGCGCAGCCCTGCTTAGCCTCAGTGGGCAGTTGCAGAGAGCGAGCTACCGGCTACGAAAAAGAAAAAAATAACAAAAAAGACATTCTGATTCAATTTGTGTAATTTTATCAAACAAAGGAAAAAGATTTGACGTGAGCTCTTAGCATGAGCCTCCCTGTGATCAGTATCAGTGATTTACCTGCAGTTCAACTCTAGACCTGTATTTATGCTTCCATATTTCCCGTCTCGATATCAAAGATGATGATTCGGTGTAATTGAAGGTAAATGAGGGTCTGTAGATCTGAGAGATTGAGGTCTTGATCTTGTGCTGTTTACTTTGATCATTCATAAAGCCATGCAGAGCCTTTTCTCTGTATGTGTTCACTCACTCGACCATATTGGAGAGCAGAATGTAAACAAAGCCACTGAACTGACCAAAACTAGCATATACTGGAAAACATTTCTGTTAATGAACACTTTCCATATTTTGTGTTTCCGTTTATTTGCCGTTGTGGGATGTTGATCTCTGCTCTTTCGACTTCTGATATTGAAAACTCAGCTCTACAGTTTAACAAAGTGGCTTTTCCCTACTGAAAAACAGCTTGTTGGCAGGTATTAGCTGGTCAACCAGGCTGGTTTTAGAGGGGTTTTGTCCATTCCAGGCTGGTTTAGCCATTACCAGGCTGGTATTAGCTGGTCAGGCTGCAGATGACCAGCTAAAGCCAGCTTGACCAGCCTAGCCAGGCTGGGAGCCCAGCCAAAACCAGCTATGTCCAGCTTAAACCATGCTGGTCAAGCTGGTTTTCACTGGTCATTTTCCAGCCTGACCAGCTAAGACCAGGCTGGAAATGAACAAAACCCCTCTAAATCCAGCCTGGTTGAACAACTAAAACCAGCCAACAAGCTTGGGCTGGTTTAAGCTGTTTTATTCAGCAGGGTTTTAGAAATTTTATTTGTTTGAAATAATATAATCTATATGAAATATAAATAAGTCTGTAAAACAACAGAAAATGTGCTGCAGTTTATTACAAGGTGTTTGTAGCGTAATATACTTTCTCATGCAGGTTTCTACACGACCTGAATGCTCTGCGCACCGCTAAAAAACCCTGCATCTGTCTCTTATAAACAGCTGACCGCAGACGTGCCAGCAGACTTTTCTTCAAGTTCACCCTGATCAAATCAATCTAATAATAACAGTGCAGTAACAGTAAATATCTAACAAATCTAAAACCAAGAAGCATCTTCTAGACTATCAAAAAATGTTTCAGACATAATGTGCCATAATTAAGTGAGTTTATCCATGAAACAAGAAAAATTGTGACAAGATAATTTTGCTACCCGATTGGTAGGTTATTTGGTCACACTTTACAATAAGGTTCATTAGTTAATGTTAATTAATGCATTTACTAACATGAACAAACAATGAACAATACATTTACTGTATTTGTTCATGTTAGTTAACGTTAGTTAATGAAAATACAGTAGTTCATTTTTAGTTCATGGTGCATTAACTAATGTTAACAAGCATGGAGTTGGATGTTAATAATGCATTAGTAAATGTTCAATTATGATTAATAAATGCTGTACATGTGTTGTTCATGATTAGTTCATGTTAGTAAATGCATTAACTAATGAACCTTATTGTAAAGTGTTACCGGTTATTTTGTCTGTTTTAAGGAAAAACGTATTTCACTCAGAAATATTATTTCTTAAAACAAAACAATATTTGTTTATCAGTGTAATCACCTAAACATCGCTGCTGATGATCAATTAATATCATGTTTTGGTTTGTACTAATGGGTTGTACCAAAAAAAATCACATAGTGTCCTATAGACAAAAGTTATAAACACATGAGAAGAGAGAAAAATTACAATTTTGAGGAGAAAGAAAAGTGTTTGTGGCCAAACTGATGCGATATTTCCAGAGAATCAAGAAACATCCAGTCAAGTGGGTGAAATAATGGGCTAATACATTCAGTAATGATGCTCATGCATGTGTTCTGCCACCTTTTAGCTTCTCTTTATATTTCAGCAGCTTGTCTACAGAAAGCTTCTTGATTTAAGAATTTGTAGATATTTAGACTGGAAACGAGACAAAAACTTTCAAGTAAGAAAGGCTTTTTTATCAGTGTACAGGAATGACGACACAAAAGCATTATGATATAAGAAAAATTTGATTCATAGGAATTATTTAATTACAAATGACAAATCTACACTGGATTTGGTATCGCTACAATGAAGTCAAAACAGCATTAAACTGACATCTAACATTGGTGTAATAAGAACAGCGACACAGTGGTTAACACTGTGGCCTCACAGAAAGAAGGTTGTTGGTTTGA